ACCACTGCGTGGGGACCGGTGGCCAACTCTGCAGCTGACTGAAGCGGGTGACCGCGTGGAGGAGCCTCTTCCGCTGGACACACAGTAATGACCCTCCTGGCTTGCGTTCCCCGCTCCAGCATGTCCTGAGACGGCGGGTGCCTGGAGAAGGCCACGAAAGACGATTCCAGATGGAGGAACCTGTCAGACGCCCTCCGGTCCCAGGTCCCCTCCGGCCTCCACCTGAGCGCATCCCCCGGGGCGCCAGCCTCCACCACCCGCCTCCGAAGCCCCGTGTTCTTTTACTTAACAAACAAACAAACAGTGCAGTATTAGCATGTTGGAGAAAGGACCAGGTTCTCAGCCCTCCATCCTTCCACACCCACAAGCCGAGGAAGGTTCCAGAGCCTTCTCTCACCCGCTACCAACGCCCACCGGCCCTGGCTGGCCCTGGGGGTTCTTTCCCGTGCCTTCCATTGTACGACTCCACCCTGCGGTGTGTGGCCTGCAGCCCTGGACACTTACCGCCCTCCCCGCCACCACACACACACTGTGCCACACCTCGGGGTACCCCCGGCCTGTGACCTCACACCCCAAATCCACACCTCTGGTCTCATCTGACAGCCCCCATCTCCTGGAAACGCGCCCCCCCCATCTCCACCTTTTCCTAGGGAGGCTCAAAACCCATAGCACAAATGAGAACTGTCCTGTGACTGCATCTAGAACATTCTAAAGTCCCTTTGAATGCTGACGATGCCACGGCACAGGGGTGAGCTTGGGGGTGGGAACTCCTCCGTCTCCCCAACCCCCAGGCTGGGAGTCGTCACATAGGCTCCCGCACCCTCGGAAATAAACTGGGAAAGGAAAATGGGGGTTCCTGGGGCATCTGGAAACTCGCTTGGAGGGAAAATTGAAATGTCCATGGAATGCAAGAACCCCATCGCCATCTGAGAGTGCGTCGCTCTGGGGTGATGCAAGGCTGCGCTTGTGCCCCCGCCCCCTGAGCCTCACCGGAGACCCCCAAGAACGGGGCGCCCCCCCTTTTTTGGGGTTTTAGGGGGGGCTTTCAGTTGTTCCTTGCCTTCCGGGCGGGGGCTTTCGGCGGCCTTGATTTTGGGGGGGCGGGGGGGTTGGCCTGGGGGCTTGCCCAACCAGCCGTCCAAGAAGGTTCTCGAAATGGCCAACATCCCAGGACCTGCGACAGCAGAGGAGTGTGTTTTGGAGTGACTGCTGGCATTTCGTGCCGAGAGAGGGACAGAATGGTCCAGAACCAGAGTCGGGGCAATTGGAGTCTTAGGCCTTGTGCTCTGACCCTGAGAAATGCCAGGTTTTTCCGGTCAGCTGGGGGCCTGCAGACCCCACCAGGGAGTAGAGGGGGTTCAGGGCTGTCCTTTGACATCTTGGGGATCTGGTGTGTTTTGTTTTGCATTCCCCAAGTGGCAAGTGAAAAAGACAGTGGGATGGTGGCCCAGGTTCGTGTCACCTGTAGCCCGAAGCAGCAGTGGCTGGCGGACGGGCCATGCGTGGTGGCCCCATCGACCTGGCTCGCTTCTCCCACACAAGGCCTCTTCTTACAAAAGGTGAGGCTGGGCGGGGGGCTGGCTGTCAGAGGCCCAGGCTGTTACTCCAGTGAGTGACCTCGACGCTCAAGCTAATAGGAGATAACAGAACGCAGGTAGCCAGGTGCCAGTGGTTCACATCTGTAATCCCGGCTACCCAGGAGGCTGAGATTGGAGGACTGAAGTGCAAAGCCAGCCCCAGCAACAACGTCCATGAGGTTTTGATCTCGAATTATAATCACCAAAAAACGTCCGAAGGGGAGCTGTAGCTCAAGTGGTAGAGCACCTACGTTGAATGAAAAAGCTCAGAGAAAGCACCCAGTCCCTGAGTTCAAGCCCCAGGATTGGCACAAAAAAATTTAGAAGGGGAAGAAAGAAAACAAGATGACAGCCAGGCACCAGTGGCTCACACCTGTCATCCTAGCTACTCAGGAGGCTGAGATGTGAGGATCACGGTTCAAAACCAGCCTGGGCAGGAAAGTCCCATGAGACTCTTCTCTCCAGTGAACCACCAGAAAACCAGAAGTGGCGCTGTGGCTCAGGTGGTAGAGCACTAGCCTTGAGCAAAAGAGCTGAGGGACAGCACCCGGGCCCCGAGTTCAAGTCCCACAACCAACAACAACAAAGATGACAGAAATCATGAAGGTACCATGAGAATGGCACTTCTGGGAAATATCAGGTTCCTGGTGACCAAAGCTGGATTACTCCACTGAAAACCTTGTCGGTAACACGAAACTGTGACACCCCAATCTTTATCAAAGAAAATAGAAGCCAGGAATACAACAGGCCTCACCCCACCCACACTGGTGATTTATTACTGAGTGGAAGGGGACAGAGCATGCACACTTACTCAGTCCAAGGAGACTGCAGGCTGAAGATGATGCTGCCCCCCCAGAAAACATGGGGACCCCCTGCTCGGCCACAGGGGTGCACCTACCACCACTCCCACACCACCAGCACCCACGGATGATGGGTAAAGCAAATAAAAGACCCCCTTCAACTAGGCCACAGCTGTTGCTCCAGAGAGAGGAGGGGGTCCCAGGGGCGCCCCCCAGCGATCGCTCACCTGTCAGCAGGTGTGAGGTTAGCTCCAGCCAGTCAGAGCTGCTACATGGACCTGGTAAAATTGGTTTTGCCATAGCTTTGTATCAGGCGGGGGGGGGGGGAGAAATTTGGGCCAAAAGGCAAAAGACACCCCTCTTCCTACCAGCCCTGTTTGTAAAGGGACACTGGATATTTTTTTTTCCTTGTGGTTTTACTTTAAATTGTTATTATAAAGGTGATGTACAGAGGACACTGGGTTTTTCTCTCTCTGGGGCACCTGGAATACATCCTAATATCCGCCTTTCCCACAGTGAGACTTGGGGGTTTCAAAATGCGGAGAGAAGGCCAGGGTGAGGTGAAGCCGCTGTATGAGGGATTTCCTGTGACCTAAATAAAGCGTGGCTGAGAAGGAAGTCCCGCCCCTTTCTCTGTTGCCAAGGGACAATCTTGAGAAGAGCCTCAGCCTGATTGGCGGGGAGCAGCCCAGGGGGAGGCCCTGTGGCGAGTAGCTGTCTCCTGCTACAGCCCGGTGTGGTCTGCCACAGAATCAGCGGTCTGTGCTTCTTGGATGGTCAGAGTCGGGTTTCCCAGGACCGGGCTTTGGGACCATTGGGAGACACCCAAACAGGTGCCATGTGCCAAAAATACCAGTGTCATTCCCAAGTGTACGAGGGGTGCAAGCATGTGAGCTCACCTGGTTTGCCATGCTCTTCCAAGGACGGCTGAAGAGCGATCCTTCCCAAAGGAGTAGTGTCGTGGAGTGAGGAGCAGGTGCCCAGGCCAAGGTGGACACAGGGCAGGGCGGGAGGAGGGTGCCAAGGGGCAGAGCTGGGCTGGGGTCTAAGGTTCTCTAGTCTGAGGGTAATCAAATCCTTTTCCCAGTCGGGCCCGGTGGCTACCGCCTGTCATCCTAGCTACTCAGGAGGCTGAGATTTGAGGATTGCAGTTCAAAGCCAGCCCAGGCAAGAAAAGTCCCTGAGACGCTTATCTCCAATGAACCACCAGAAAACTGGAAGTGTTAGTGCTCACCTTGAGCTGAAGAGCTGAGGAACAACACCCAGGCCCAGAATTCAAGCTCCATGACTGACAAAAAAAAAAAAAATCCTTTTCCCACCCACTTCAGATTCTGGACTGCTGGGCACTGGTGGCTCAGGAGGCTGAGATTTGAGGATCACGGTTCAAAGCCAACCTGGGCAGGAAAGCCCATGAGACTCTTATCTCCAATAAACCACCAGACAACCAGAAGTGGCACTGTGGCTCAAGTGGTAGAGCACTTGCCTTGAGCTGAAGAGCTGAGGAACAGCGCCCAGGCCCCGAGTTCAAGTCCCAGGCCCAACAGAGAGAGAGAGAGGGCGAGGGGGAGTCATAAGAACTGGAGAGAACCTGTTTTGTGGATACTGGGGCAGAACCCAGAAGTAAATTGCACACCTGGTCCTTTTTTTTTTTCTAATGAGGTGAATTAATTCATGTAAAATTAACCTTTTGATTCTTTGTGATGGTACCAGAGTTTGAAATCAGGGTCTTGCTTGCTAGGCAAAACACTCTCACTCGAGCCACGCCCCTACCACTCGAGCCACGCCCCTACGCCTAAGCCACGCCTCACCTCTGGATTCACACCGGGTGCTCTGGGCACGCCCATCGCGTGGCCACGCCCATCTGAGCCCCGCCCCCGCCTCTTGGGCCCTGGACCTGCCACCTGAGCAGCCAGCCCTAAAACTAGCCATTTTTCTACGTCCATTCAGATCACCTGGTAGGACAGGAAGCCAGAGAGCAGGCAAGAGCCGGTCGTGTTCTTTTCTAACCACCTTTATTTGGAGAAGTGAGCAGAGAGAGATGGGAGGCAAGATGGAGGCGTAGAAGCTGTCTTCCTGGAACCCCAAAAGAAGGAGAAGAGTCCGTCTTGAAGTGTCTGTATTCAGGGGAGAAAAAGAGGAGAGCCTTGAGAACCAACCAGCAAGCCGGAGGGGACACACTACACAAGAGCCACGGGATAAACCAGTCCCGGCATTCCCAGAGCTCCCAGAGGGTGGCAGCTGAGGCCCGGCATGCACCCCCACAAGCCTGAACCCAAAGTGACAAGCCAGCCCTGGACATAACAGCCCGGTGCTCCTCAGATCTCACAGAGATCTTGGGCGAGGGCTAAAGTCCTGGGGTGGGGAAGGCTTGAACTCAAAAAGCCTTAACAAGCCAGGGGCTGATGGCTCACACCGGTCATTCTAGCTGGAGATCTGAGGATCATGGTTCAAAGCCAGCCCGGAGTACATGAGACTTATATCTCCAATGAACCACCAGAAAACTGGAAATGGTGCTGTGGCTCAAGTGGTAGAGCCCTTGCCTTGAGCACAAAAGCTCAGGGACAGCGTGTAGGCCCTGAGTTCAAGCCCTACAACCACCACCACCAACAACAACAAAGCCATAACAGCTCAGGGTGTCCTGAGACACCCCTAAGGGTGACCAAGAGGAAGATGGCCAGAAGAGGCTCATGGGAAAGGAGAGTCTGAACTGGGACTTAATCTGTGTGTGTGTGTGTGTGTGTGTGTGTGTGTGTGTGTGTGTGTGTGTGTACTGGTAACTGAGATTTGAACTCAGGGCCAGAATGCTGTTCCTGAGAGCTTTTGGCTCAAGGCTAGCACCACAGCTAGAGCCACAGCTCCATTTCTGGCTTTTTTGGTGGTTAACTAGAGATAAAGAGTCTCATGGACCTTTCTTCCCTGGCTGGCTTTCAACCATGATCCTTTGATCTCAGCCTCCTGAATAGAACTGCAGTCAATCACGATCTGCCAGACCCCAGTAGACCTTTTGGGTGTTTTTTTTTTTGGAGACAGCATCTCACTGCGTAGCCGAGGCTGGCCTGGAACCCGTGATCTTCCTGCACAGGTGTGCATCACCACACCCAGCGCCTGCCTTACATCATCCCAAGCTCCCACAGCGACAGCCCTGGTGACTCAGGTAGCCCCGTGATTATGCCTTGTATGGCTCTGGTGTCATGCTGAGAAGAATGTGTGGCCAGGCGGGGATTATAATCCATTCAAAGCCATCTTGATTGTCACTTAACACTGGATCCTAAAGTCACAGGCGCTCCCACGGCCTGATGCGTGGGGCTCCCCAGCGGCATGGGGAAGGAAGATCGCAAGCTGAGGGGGTGGCTTCGAACTGGGATCCTCAGGTGCTTAACTGGTCTTTCTTCCTTCCTTTCTTCCTTCCTTCCTTCCTTCCTTCCTTCCTTCCTTCCTTTCTTTCTTTCTTTCTTTCTTTTTCTTTTCTTTCTTTCTTTCTTGTCAGGGTCAAGGCAGGAGACAGAGGCAAGCCAGGCCAGTGTGATATTTTTAGGGAGGGAAATCGCATGGAGGGTGACCTGAGTTCTCTGGCCCATATGTGGGAGGGGGAAGGGAGAAGGGGGGGGAGGACTTTCATGGACCTGGACCTGAGGGGCGGGGTGGAGGCTGGAGTCCAGCCCTTTACCTCCTGACTTGTGACTAATTTAGGTGAAAGGCAGAGTCTAGAGCTATTTCCACCCCGGGGGAACAGGTGCTCACCCCACCCTCCCCCCCCCCCCCCCACCTCCCTTGCCATCACCCTGGCTTGGGGCCTCCTCCCCGGAGATTGCCTCCAGGACTATAAAGGCCCTGGGTTTTGTCAATGAAGCCAGGACACCCCAGCGGGGCGGGCAGGCAAGGGCTGGCTGCACCCCGCTGGAGCTGCTTGGGCTGCAGTTAAGCACAGTGTCCCCAACCCCATCCCCGTCCCCCCAACCTTCTGCAGACATGAAGATTGTCATCGTTGGCATTGGAGGGTGAGCGCAGAGGGCTGGGGCTGGGGTGGGGTGGAACGAAGAGGTACAAGGGGAGGACACTAAGAAGACCTGGGAGGGAATTGAGGTTGCTTGCCTGCTGCCCACTGCCCTGTCTGTCTGTCTGTGTGTCCATCTGGCTGGCTGTAACACTTTCTGTCTCTGAATGAATGAGAGAGGCTTGGTCCCCAATGGGAAAGGAGAATGGGATCCAAGGTTTGATTTTACAAACTGGAAGGTATTTCTTTTTCCCTGATTTTACTCAGGGTCACAAACAAAAAAGGTATGGTAGTGCATGCCTGTAGTTCTAGCATTGGAAGGGAAAGGGTGGGAGGATCAGAAGCTCAAGGCCAGCCTAGACTCTTGTCTTAAAAATAAATAAGGGCTGGGAAGGTGGCTTAGTGGTAGAGTGCTTGCCTAGCATGCATGAAGTCCTGGATTCAATTCCTCAGTAGCACATACACAGAAAAAGCCAGAAGTGGCGCTGTGGCTCAAGTGGCAGAGTGCTAGCCTTGAGCAAAAAGAAGCTCAGGGACAGTGCCCAGGTCCTGAGTTCAAGCCCCAGGTCTGGAGACAAAAATAATTAATTTTAAAAAATCAGTAAGAAGCCGGGCACCAGTGGCTCACACTTGTCATCCTAGCTGCTCAGGAGGCTGAGAGCTGAGGCTCACAGTTCAAAGCCAGCCCGGGAAGGAAAGTCCATGA